AAGCACTGCTTAGGGGGAAATTTATAGCATTGAATACACATATTAGAAAAAAAGAAACATCTAAAATCAGCAATCTAAGTTTCCAACTGTGAAAACTACAAAAAGAAGAGTAAATTAAATCCAGAGTAAGCACAAGAAAAGAAATAATAAAAATTGGAGTAAAGAATCAATGAAATTGAAAACAAGATATCAACAGAGAAAATCAACAAAACCAAAAGGTAGTAAAATTGAAAAGATCAGTAAAATTGATAAGCCTCTTGCCAGGTTAACTAAGAAAAGAAAAGGGGGGGGCGGGGGATACAAATTACCAATATTTGAAATGAAAGAGGGGACATTACTACAGACCCCATGGAAAAAGATATTAAAGGAATAATATGAACAACTCTATGCCCACAACTTTGATAACTTAGCTGAAATGAATCAGTTCCTTGAAAGACACAATTTGCTAAAGCTCACACAAGAAGAAATAGATGATCTGACAGGCCTGTATCTATTAAAGAAGTTGAATCCATAATAAATAACCTTCCAAAAAAGAAAACACCAGGACCAGATGGATTCACTGATGAATTCTACCAAACATTTAAGGAAGAAATTATACTAACTCTCTATAATCTCTTTCAGATGATAAAAGCAGAAGGAATACTTCCTAACTCATTCTATGAGGCCAACATTACCCTAAAACCAAAACCAGACAAAGACATTACAAGAAAAGAAAACCACAAACCAATATCCCTCATGAAAATAAATGCAAAAATCTCCAACAAAATATTAGCAAATCAAATCCAAAGAAGTATAAAAATAATTCTGTACCACAATACCAATTCTGATGTGCAGGTTTTACCCCCACACCAAGCTATTCTCTGACAGCTGGGAGTCCTACAGTTCAACTCAATTCTAAGACAACTCAATTCTGACACTATCTACCCAGGGATAGCATCAGATTCCACAAGTTAAGAGTTCAGTCCCACAATACTGCCTCCACTTCAGATGACAACTGTGAGTCCAGATTGTGACCTGTGCTTCCAACAGACAGACTATAAATAAGTTTCCCATGACCCCTTTCTTGGATTTGATTAATTTGCTAAAGTAGCTCACAGACCTCAGGAAACCAGTTTACTAACTAGATTATCAGTTTATTACAAAGGATATAACTCATGAACAGCCAGATGGAAGAGATACATAGGGCAAGGTATGGGGAAGGGGCAAAGAACTTCCATGCTCTCTGAGCACACCACTCTTCCTAATTCTCCACATGTTTACAATCCAGAAGCTCTCCAAACCCCCTCTTTTTGGGTTTTATGGAGGCTTCATTATACAAACATGGTTGATTAAATCATTGGTCATTGGTGATTGAACTCAATCTCCAGCCCCTCTCTCCTCTCCAGAGGTCTGAAGGGTGGGACTGAAAATTCCAACCCTCTGATCACATGGTTGCTTTCCTCAGCAACAAACCCCCACCCATCCTTAGGTGATTTCCAAAAGTGACCTCATTAACATAACAAAAGTCACCCTTATCACTCTCATCACCTAGGAAATTCTGAAGGTTTTAGGATTTCTGTGGCAGAATAGGGACTAAGACCAAATATATATTTCCTATAAATCATAATATCATAACCACCAAGTAGGACTTACCCCAGGTATGCAAGTCTGATCCAACATTTGAAAATCAGTTAATGTAATCCATCACACCAACAGACTAAAAAAAAAAAAAAAAAAGAAAAGAAAAGAAAAACCACATGATTAAATCAATAGATGTAGAAAATCATTTGATAAAATCTAAACCTATTCATGACAAAAACTCTCAGTAAGCTAGGAATAGAGGGAAACTTCCTCAAGTGGATAAAGATTATCTGTTAAAAAAAAAACTACACCTAATATTGTTAGGTAGCTAGTCAGACATGAGTGGGTCCTGCTGCATTCTGGAAGGGCTCTCATCTTTCCCTCCCCAACCTGGACACTGGTAATCAGAACATGCCCAGAAATCTTCCTTTTTCTAGTCAAGGACCACCACTTAATTTCCAGCCTTATCAGGACTAAGCAAGATAAAACCACCAACACAGATTGGTACAGGTGCACCAAGACCTAAAAGGTGACTCAAGGTAACCCGGGGCCAATAATGCCATATTTACGGTATCCCCACCACCACCACTCGCCCCCGTGGTTTTGCTTGGGTGCTTATGCATAAGCACCTGCCCACTAAGGGAAAGGTTATATTGATAAAACCTAAAACTGTCAATCAACTTGTGAGTCAGATGACATAGGATGTGGGGAGGGACTGCCACCACTCTAAAAAACCCAACCCTACGCTCACTGCAGGGCTTCTTCTGGTTTCCAGACAGCCCATTCTCATCCTTTCTCGAGAGCATACTTTCGCTTTGCTCAATAAAACTCTTGCTGCTTAAAACTGCTCTACAACTCTCTACTGAATTCTTTCCCTCGAGAGGACAAGAACCAAAGAATTGCCATTTCACTGGTAAAAATATCATGCTTAATGATGAGAAACTCAAAGCTTTCCCACTAAGATCAGGTACAAGACAAAAATATCCCCCTCACCACTCCTTTTCAACATTGTACTGGAAGTCCTTGTTAATGTAGTAAGACAAGAAAAGGGAGTAAAAGGTATACAGATTGGAAAGAAAGATATAAAACTGTCTTTGTTTACAGATGACATGATCACCTGTGTAGAAAATCTGAAGGAATCAACCAAAAACTCCTGGAACTGATGAGTAATTAGAGCAAGGTTGCAGGATACAAAATTAATAGATAAAGCCAATCATTTTCCTATATACCAGCAATAAGCAAGTATAACTTGAAATTAAAAACACAATACCATTAATATTAGCACCCCCAAAATAATATTCTTAGGTATAAATCTAACAAAATATGTATAAGATCTATATGATAAAAAATACAAAATTCTCATGAACAAAATCAAAGAACTAAATAGAGAGAGAGATTCCATATTCATGGATTGGAAGACAATATTGTCAAGATGTCAGTTCTTTACAACCTGATTTACAGACTCAATGCAATTCTAATAAAAATCCCAGCAAGTTATTTTATGGATATCAACAAACTGATTCTAAAGTTTACATGAAGAGGCAAAAGACCTAGAATAGCCAACACAATATTGAAGAAGAGCAAAATTGGAGGACTGATGCTACTCAACTTTACTTACTGTAAAACTACAGTAATCAGGACAGTGTGGAACTGGCAAAAGAATATATAACTAGATCAATGGAACAGAATAGGGAGCCCAGAACTAGAACCACATTTTAAAAAAAAAATTGAATCAAGACTTTACACCCTTCAAAAAATTAACTTAAAATGGATCATAGACCTAAATTTTAAATGCAAAACTCTAAAATTCTTAGACGATAATATAGAAGAAAACCTAAATGACCATGGGTATGGTTGATGCCTTTTTGGATATAGCACCATTAGCATGATCCACAAAAGAAATCATCGATGAGGGACTTCATTCAAATGAAAAACTTCTGCAAAAGACAATGTCAAGAGAATGAGGAGACCAGCTAAAGGCTGAGAGAAAATATTTGAGAAAGACACATCCAGTAAAGGACTACTATCCAAAATACACAAAGAACACTTAAAACTCCACAATAAGAAAACAGCTCAACTAAAAAATGGGCTAAAGAGGGGCTTCCCTGGTGGCGCTAGTGGTTGAGAGTCCGCCTGCCGATGCAGGGGATGCGGGTTCGTGCCCCGGTCCAGGAGGATCCCACATGCCGCGGAGCGGCTGGGCCCGTGAGCCATGGCCGCTGAGCCTGCGCGTCCGGAGCCTGTGCTCCACAACGGGAGAGGCCACAACAGTGAGAGGCCCGCATACCACAAAAAAAAAAAAAAAAATGGGCTAAAGAACTTAAACAGACACCTCATCAAGGAACATATACAGATGAAAAATAAACATATGAAAAGCTGTTCCACATCATATGTAATTAGGGAACGCAAAGTAAACAACAATGAGATATACTATGTACCTGTTAGAATGGCTAAAATCTGGAACACTGAGAACACTAAATGCTGGTGAGTTTGTGGAGCAATAGGAACTGTCACAAATTGCCGGTGGGAATGCAAAATGGTAAGCCACTTCGGAAGACAGTTAGGTGGTTTTTTTACAAAACTAAAAATACTTTTACCATATGATCCACAATCACACTCCTTGGTATTTACCTGCACAAAAACCTGCACATAGACATGTGTAGCAGCTTTATTCATAATTGGCGAAACTTGGAAGCAACCAAGATGTCCTTCAGTAGGTGATTGGATAAACTGTGTTACATCCAGACAATAGAATATTATTCAGCACTAAAAGAAATAAGCTATTGAGCCATGAAAAGAAGTGGAGGAAAATTAAATACATATTACTAAGTGAAAGAAGCCAATATGAAAAGGCTACATACTGCATGATTCCAACTATATGACATTCTGAAAAAGGCAAAACTATGGAGATAGTGGAAAGACCAGTGGTTGCCAAGGGTTGGAGGAAGGGAGGGATGAATAGGCAGAGCACAGAGGATTTTAGGGCAGTGAAACTACTCTGTGTGGTATTATAATGGTAAATACAATTGTCCGAACCCATAGAGTGAACAACACCAATGAACCCTAATGTAAACTATGGATGTTGGATGATAATGATGTGTCAGTGTAAGTTTATCAGTTGTAACAAATGTACCACTTTGGTAATGGGGAAGGCTATGTGTATGTGGGAACAGGGAGTTTATAGAAAATCTCTGTATATGCCCCTCAATTTTGCTGTCAATCTAAACTGCTCAAAAAATAAAGGTTTAAAGAAAAATGAACAATTCAAAATAATTATGTAACTTGCATACATATTTTTCAAAAGACAAAAGGCAGACTGGGAAAAATATTTGTAACATGTTAAATGTGATTAATATTGTTCATATGCAAAGAACACCTATACATCAATAAAGAAAGAAGCTCAATAGAAAAATCAGTAATATATTAGAATAAAAACTCACAAGATGAGAAGTGTAAATGGAGGGACTTCCCTGGCAGTCCAGTGGTTAAGACTTCGCCTTCCAATGCAGGGGGTGCGGGTTCAATCCCTGGTCGGGGAGCTAAGACCCCACATGCCCCACGGCCAAAAAAACCAAAACATAAAACAGAAGCAATATTGTAACAAATTCAATAAAGACTTAAAAAATTATCCACATCAAAAAAATCTTTAAAAAAAGTATAAATGGAAAATAACTGTAGTTTATGAAAAAATACTCAGCCCCATGAGTCATAAGAAAAATGACTTCCCAAGTTAAGGCTTCCCAAACCATACTGTCCAGCGGCCTGACTGAAATCATGCCACCAAGGATCCCATAGGAAGAGATGGAAACTTGGGGCCATCAGAATATGTTTAAAGAAATGGTCTCCCAAGAAATTAGGATTTACGAAGAAGGAGGTGAGAGGAAGCAGCCAGAAGCAGCTTCAGGAGTAAGATGTCAGAGAGGGCAGGGGCTAATGAGACAAGCCCTTATGTATGTTAGCTAATATTTCTGGCTCCATTTTGTTGATTCTACCCTTGTTTTTCTTTCTTCTTTCACTCCCAGTTTGGTTTTCATAGGCTGCTTTGTTGTATCTTATTAATCTTGTAAACTGCCTTCCAAGCCTTGAATATTTTTTTGAATAGATAATCAAGTGAATGGATAATTTACTCATCAAATGGTGAAATGAATGAGTGGTTGAACAACTGAATTGTTCTGACTGTTTTCAAGAAGAGAAGTTTCCTCAAAGTGATTGGTGGGATGGAAATGTCATACATTCTGAGAAAGAACTGCTTTAGCATCACTGGACAATAACCTAGACCTCAGATTCCCAGAGAAAAGGATGCATGAGGATTAAGAGTTATACCAGTTGTTTAAAGGAGTACTGGCCCTGTGTCAGCAGCACTCACAGCCCTGTTAAAATATATATTGTGACTGAAAGTGTAGGAAAAGAGCAAGTTATAGTTAGGATAAGTTAACTGCTATAGCAAATAAGCCGCCAAATGTATAATGGCTCAAACTCAATAGAAGTCTATTTCTTGCTCATGAAACAGGACTGAGCAAGTGAGCAGGTTGGCCAAATAGTCATTCAGGGAGCCCAAGCTGATGGAGGTGCTGCCGTATTCAACAGGTGGCTTCTAAGTTTGCCCTGGGAGTCAACTCATTCTAACAAGCCAGAAGGAGAAAAGAGAAAGGAACTTGTGGGAAATTTAGATGGACCAAGCCTGGAAGGAGGACATATCAGCTTCAGATAAAACTCAGGCACATGACCACACCTAACTAAAAGGGAGGCAGGGAAACACAGTCTAGCTGTGTGCCCAGAATGAAGAGGAGAACGTGGATTTGGGTGAGCCCCTAGTATTTCCTGTCACAGATCATTAGCAGACCTAAAGTCAGACTTGAGTAAAGAACCTCAATAAATTCCAAGCTCTGCACTGTGGTTCCCATTCTCAGGAGACTGGGAACATGTGCCAAACACCTGTTCAAGAGTTACTTTGGTAATAAGTTGCGGATGAGGACTCTACTTCCCGAAATTCCACTACCAGAGGCTTTCTCAGGGAACTCTCCCATCCCAGTATAAAATGGCAAAGAAAGCCCGTCCCTGCAATGTATTTTAAGAGAGACACTGTGGCATCAAGCAAAAATCAGAGATGGAAGGTTGACTCTACTTGTAAATAGGGGAGATTTTTTTGTGCAGCCTTGTGGATTCATGGAGAGAATGTCATGCTGATGTCAGTCTTTGTTAAACCACCAATCAATCTCTTGCAGAAACACATTTTTTTAAAAAAATATTATTTCTATTGTTCACTTGTGCTTGCTCTGATAAGGCTATTTCCAGAGAGTGGGAAAAATAAAAGAACAGCTGTACCACATCTCTTAACCATGAACCCTAGTAGGCACACATTTTGCTAAAAAGAAGAAATCAATTTTTAGTTTCACAAGAGAAAAATAAAGCCCATTTAAAAGGAAATATTAAGGATGCCTATTTAAATGCAAATTGAACTACAGCATTTATATGTGTCAATTAAAATCCCTCAAAGAATTTTCTTGAAATATTAGCATTTGCTTAGGTGAAATTTTTGTTTTAAAGAAAGAGACTCACAATTAAGAGTTGCTCTGAATTTCATGGCACTTTTTAAAAAAGTAAATCATTGTTAGTTCTGGTAACATTAGACATAAGGAATTGATATAGTCTCAGCATGAAAAACATGATGACTCCTTTGCCCATCCAAGAAAGGTCATACCCATGATTTTGCCCTTGCTTGCACCCTGTCAGAAGAAGCAAGGTAAGCAGTGACTATTGATACCCATAACACAACCTAAGAATAATAAAAAGCTAACATTCACTGAGTATCTACTGCCTGTGCCAGGCATCTTTTATTTCACATTATGTCAGGTGGTCTCCAGCATCACCCAGAGAGAGAAGTGGGTAAATGTTATTATCCTATTTTAACAGACGAGGAAACCAAGTATCAGAGAAGTAGCAACTTACCCTCAGTCTCACAACTAATAAGTCGTAAATCCAGAATTCATAGTCAAGTGTGTGTTATTCCAAAGCCCATACTTCTAATTACTCTCCTAAGATGGTTCACGTATGTCTAGCTCAGTCTCTTCCCAGTCAGATGCTTTTCCCATTCTGTATGGAGGTCAAGACTCCTTGGGCTGCTCTTGCAAGCTGTGTGTCTTTTTCAATGCAGTAATAGCAGCCACCGACCCTGTTAAGAAATTCTGTGTCGTGGCTGGCATCATATCATTTGCTTGGCCTGCCATTTGAGTCTGTCAATCTCCTCTTCCAGTCAAGGAAGGCTCCCATGTTATTACACACAGCGACATGATTAGCCTTACTGGATGTAAAAGGAATCATGGCAGGATTCAAGGAAAGTCTACCCACCAGCACCCACTACTTTCCTCTCTCCACAACTTTCCTACAACTGTTCACTGACCCCAGAAATTCCTTTAATAGATGATCAGGTCTTTAGTCCACAATTATAGAGTAGAGTGATGGTAGAGCAGATGTGATGTAAGGGAAGCAAATTACCTTAAATTTATACCAAAAAAAAAAAAACAACAAACCTGACAATAGCAGACATTTTTCCAGATAATATTTTTATGTGAGAAGAGGAGAAAGGTTGGCAAATAATACAACAGAATATTTGCTGCCACTGCCCTTTTCCCAGACCACGACAGACATCACTAATAGAACCCAGCACAATTTCCCTCTGAACATAACAATCCTCTCAGCATTGCACTCTAATAATAGTTGATACATATGACTGGACCCAATTTATCCACCCCAGGTATAAAAGGATGCAGGAATCCTTCTGCATGAAAAAGTGAGTGTTCTAGGGCCACTGAAGTTGGCAAAGGCTGTGGAAAGGAGAGGCTGGGATCTCCATGACATATTTGACTGACATCCCAATTTTGCCTTCAATCTATTAGTATCCCAAGAGTCCTAACACTGCTCATGAAAGGCATCATTGAATAGAATATTAAACTATGTTCAAATAACCCAAAAAAAGGAAGGAAAGGGAAACAGAGGAATAAAAATCAGAGGGGAAAAACAGAACACAAATAATAACATGGTACATCCAAATCCAAATATATCAATAATTACATTAAATGTTCTAAATACATTGATTAAAAGACAGATTGCCAGATGGACGATGGATTTAGAAAGAATAAAAACATGAGATTATATTCTGTCTACAAGAAATTCACCTCAAATATAATGACATAGGTAGGTTAAAGTGAAAAAAAAGAAAACAATATACTTTATGAAAATTTTTGCAAAAATACAAAACAAAATATTAGCAAATGGAATCCAGCAGCATATATATAAAAAACTATGCACCTTAACTTGTTCAACATGCAGAAATTCACTGTAATCCATGATTATAATAGTCTAAAGAAGAAGAACCACATGATCCTATCAATTTATGTCAAAAGAAATCATTTGAAAAAATTCAGTATTCATTCATGACAAAAACTCTCAGCAACTGAAATAGAATGGAACTTCATCAACCTAATAAAAGGTACTGTTACAGGCTGAATTGTGTCCCTTGCAAAATTCATAATTGGAAGCCCTAACCCCCAGTACCTCAGGACGTGACTGTATTTGGAGATAGGCCTGCCGCCTCAAAGGTGACAGGCCGTGATCTTATAGTGTTTAGTACTCTGCATTGTGGAGATAGGGCCTTTAAAGAGGTGATTATGTTAAAGTGAAGATTAGGGTAGGCCCTAATCCAATCTGGATGGTGTGTTTATAAAAGGAGATTTGGACACACAAAGAGACACCAGGGATGTGCACACAGAGGAAAGACCATGTGAGGGCACAAAAAGAAGGCAGTCAAGCCAAGGAGAGAGGTCACAGAAGAAACCAAATCTACTGACACCTTGATCTTAGGCTTCCAGCTTCCAGAACTGTGAGAAATGAATTTCTGTTGTTTAAGCCACTCAGTGGGTGGTACTCTGTTATGGCAGCCCTAGCAAACCAACACAAGATATCTACAAAATAATACAGGTACCTATAACTAACATCATATTTAAGGATGAAAGACTGAGTAGTCCCCCAGCCCCCATCCCAAGATCAGGAACAAGGCAAGAATGTGTGCTCTCCTACTCTAGTGTGAACAAGCAAATGAAGAGGAGAGACCGTGATTTATCAAGATAATCTATTCCATAGATGTTATCTCATCCCTTCACCTCAATACCCCGCACCAGACCAACTCCAGCACCGACACACAAACACACACACAGACACAAATCATACCTATTATCTGAATGTCTTTGTTAAAACTAATTTTCAACCAAATTATCAAAATAGTTGCCTCAATTTGCTTTGAGTGTACAGAGGCAGTCTTGGGCATAATGAGAAGAGGAAGCAGGGAATCAAATTAACAGCAAAATTATGAGATCTGCAAAAAGGGAAATTTTTTAAAGAAAAAAGAATTTTAATGTGCTCATGTATGAAAATTGCCACCCACACACCCCTGCCATGTTGTGGAGGATCAGGGTACATTTCTAACAGCAT